TAGAAACAAATTTTTCCGTTGTTACCCAGGCCTAGTAACCACATTTCCCCTCCTCCAATCTGCTGGAACTTCTTCCATTCTCCAAGAACTTTCAAAGATTTTATTTATCGAGTCATCAGCAACCAGTCAATTATATTACATTTCTAACAGAAGCAAACAAACAGACAAAATACCAAATACAAAATTTGTGAGTTTGGTAGTTGATTAAATGTCCTTTGACCAGTATCTGGCCACTTGGAGTGCTTCTGGTGTTGCTGCAAGAAGGTCCTCCATTGTGCATGTGGCAGGGCTCAGGTTGCATTGCAGCAGGTGGTCAGTGGTTTGCTCCTCTCCACACTCACCTGTCGAGGATTCCACTTGGTAGCCCCATTTCTGAAGGTTGGCTCTGCATCTCGTGCTGCCAGTGCAGTCTGTTCAGCACCTTCCAAGTCGCCCAGTCCTCTGTGTGCCCAGGGGGGAAGTCTCTCATTTGGTATCAGCCATTGGTTGAGGTTCTGGGTTTGAGCCTGCCACTTTTGGACTCTTGCTTGCTGAGGTGTTCCAGCAAGTGTCTCTGTACATCTTAGAAACCTATTTCTAGATTTAAGTCGTTGACGTGCTGGCTGATACCCAAAAGGGATGAGCTGGAGATGTCTCTGCCTTGGTCCTTTCACTATTGGCTGCTACTTCCCGGCGGATGTCAGGTGGTGCAATACCGGCTAAGCAGTGTAATTTCTCCAGTGGTGTAGGGCGCAGACACCCCGTGATAATGCGGCATGTCTCATAAAGAGCCACATCCACTGTTTTAGTGTGGTGAGATGTGTTCCACACTGGGTATGCATACTCGGCAGAATAGCACAGCGCAAGGGGAGATGTCTTCAATGTATCTGGTTGTGATCCCCAGGTTGTGCCAGTCAGCTTTTGTATGATATTGTTTCTAGCGCCCACTTTTTGCTTGATGTTCAGGCAGTGCTTCTTGTAGGTAAGAGCACGGTCCAGAGTGACTCCCAGGTATTTGGGTGCGCTGCAATGCTCCAGTGGGATTCCTTCTCAGGTGAGCTTCAGAGCTCGGGATTCTTCTCTCTTCTTGAGATGAAAGGCACATGTCTGTGTTTTAGATGGGTTGGGGATCAGCTGGTTTTCCCTGTGTTGCCAGTGGTTTTGAAATAACTTCTGCTGGTTCCTTTAGTACCCTTGGATATAGTTGATCCAGCCCAGGGACTTGAATTCTTTTAGAGCGACCAGGTATTCCTGGATGACTTGTTTCCCTATTTGGTGTTGGATTTCCCCTAATCCTTCATCCACTCCATGTTTCTGAGTATGAGGACAACTTTCTTTTTGTGAGAAAACTGAGGCAAAGAAGGCATTAAGTCATTCTGCCTTTTCCCTATATACTGTCAGCATTACCCGATCTTCTCCTTGCAGGGGCCCTATTGCCTCCTTGTTCTTTCGTTTTCTACCAACGTAAGCAAAGAAGCCTTTTTTATTGTTGTTAATGTCCCTGGCAAGCCTGAGCTCATTTTGCACTTTAGCCTTGTGAACCTGATAAAGTGTCATGGGACAACTGTGCAATCGTGCTCTATTCCAGTGAGGCAGCCCCAGAGGATACCAAGGATGTGACAACTATTGTTCCCCATTACACATTTTCCAGGAGCTGCATGGCATGACTGATGTGACTTGAAATGACATTAAATCATAGTGCAGAAGAACTAACAGGAACATATTTCCTGATGTAGATCATCCACCAAGGTAGTCACAATCCTCTCTCTGGATCTCTTCAGACATCAGGGGGGCTGTGCCATTTTCCTGGAAATTGCAGGCACGTGGGGCGACTTGTAGCACCCTGTGTGCCCTCCCTCCTTTCCCCATCAGATGGGGACAACAGGACAAGGCACATTGCTGCCCTGTCCCTGTCATATGTGATAAAGGGAGGCAACACATGTTGCTGTGTTAGCCTTTCCCCCATCAGATGGGAGAAAAGCACAAAAAATGCACCAAAAAAGGCACCAAACCCACATACCTCTTTGTTGTTGCCTAGAAAACATCTTGCAATGCTTCCTCGGCACTTGTAATGTAAATCAGGCAGGGCCTGCCAAGCATCAGGTTGTGGTGCTTGGCAAGCCCAGACCCCACTTTGCTTCAAAGCAGCAAAAAGTCCCAGTGTAATGAAGTAGTCTGTCTTATAACCAGGTCTGTCAACAAAATGAAATGAATCAAGACAATCTGCTTCATCTAGGAATATCTAGACATAGGAGGCTTCCACGGTTGCAATATTTTGCCAAAAATGAAATGTTGGATACAGTCACATGAATATTAAACAACGTTTATAACATAGATGGCCATCCACTTTACCAATTAATATATCAGATGAGAAGTGTAATGCAAATCAGTTGTCAAGAGCCATCACACAACGAAATTGTATCATGATATATGTGGGGGTTTTATTCAAAGAATACTGCTAGTCCACTTAGGCAGAAAAAACGAAATACAAAGATACAGAATGGGGGGCAATGCCTGGCTCAAGAGCAGTTCGTGTGAAAAAGATCTTGGAGTCCTCGTGGACAACAAGTTAAACATGAGCCAACAATGTGATGTGGCGGCAAAAAAGCCAATGGGATTTTGGCCTGCATAGTGTCTAGATCTAGGGAAGTAATGCTACCCCTCTATTCTGCTTTGGTTAGACCACACCTGGAATATTGTGTCCAATTCTGGGCACCACAATTCAAGAGAGATATTGACAAGCTGGAATGTGTCCAGAGGAGGGCGACTAAAATGATCAAGGGTCTGGAGAATAAGCCCTATGAGGAGCGGCTTAAGGAGCTGGGTATGTTTAGCCTGAAGAAGAGAGGGCTGAGAGGAGATATGATAGCCATGTATAATATGTGAGAGGAAGCCACAGGGAGGAGGGAGCAAGCTTGTTTACTGCTTCCATGGAGATTAGGACAAGGAACAACGGCTTCAAACTACAGGAAAGGAGATTTCATTTGAACATGAGGAAGAACTTCCTGACTGTGAGAGCCGTTCAGCAGTGGAACTCTCTGCCCCAGAGTGTGGTGGAGGCTCCTTCTTTGGAAGCTTTTAAACAGAGGCTGGGTGGCCATCTGTCAGGGATGCTTTGAATGCAATATTCCTGCTTCTTGGCAGGGGGTTGGACTGGATGACCCATGAGGTCTCTTCCAACTCTTTGATTCTATGATTCTACTAACCAGGGCAGATTAACATTAGTTGAAGCAGAGAATGTGGTAAAAAGAAAATGTGGTAGTTTGTGTTATTGTCAAATTAGAATTTACATGTTTGGATGTGAGCCAGTACCTCTCTTGTCAGGTAGAGGCCAAACATTATAATTGGAATCTGAAAGAATATAAAGTTTACTGCCATGAATTAGATTGAAGCTGTCAAAAGTGAACCTGCCCCCAGTGTGGATACTGGGTTACATGTAGCTCTTTTTTCAAACTGTTTTTAAGAACCTTCAGCAATCCAGACTCCACAGGCCACCCTTTTTCTGATTTAAAAAGAAAGGGGTGGGGCAAATGGTTTATCCTGGAACCTGGCAAATGACCACTTTGAATTTTGTATTTTTCCCTTTTTTGTAGTCCAAACACAGCCCTCAGAGAATCCCAAAGACAGATGTTTGACTTTTGTTTTAAACCACTGGCCATACCTAACCAGGATAATTTATTTTGCATACAAGCAGCTACCTTTGAAAAGTACTGAAAAACTTCCATTAAAAAAACTTTATACTCCCCACCCCCACCTCCAAATTCTAAAGGCTATTGAGTAGTTTTGATTGGTGGTACTACCATGGAAAGAAAATACCTTATTTCTGGTCCATTTCCAAACACAATTCATAGCTAGTGCTTACTTTTAAAGTCTGAAATAGCTTAATCACGTTTTCTCACCAGGGCTTTAAATTACACCTGAAATGTAGTTTATGGTGGGGCCTTTTGAATTCTCAGCTAAGAGGTCCTTACCTTCCCAAACTATATTTCCCAGAATTTTGCAGGCAGCAAAAACACAAGGCTGCCCACTTCAAAGACCAGTATTTTTGTGATAATGTGGTAAGAGTCAGATACTCAATGTTTATAGCACATGCACCAAAGTTATTCTACTCCATCCCACTATTCCAATAAAAGACTATATGTAAATGTATAAGACTGGAAAAGTTTATCATTCAGGAGCTGGTACGCTTTCTACAGTTTCAGTGTAAAATATGTCCAGAATTCTCTGCAGCATTTTAGGTTTCTACAGTATTTATTTATTTAATTATTTACTTCATTTATATACCGCTTTTCTCAGCCCTCAGGCGACTCAAAGCGGTTAACAACAGCAAAATTCAATGCAAAACATCATAAAAAGATTATGGGACAGTTAAAACAATAGCATCATCAACAATTAAACATCAATATAACAATCATTAGCATAGATGTGTTAGGGATCTTACTTTCAAAATTGCCTTGCATACCAAGAAAAGCACAACAGAAATCAAATCCTTCTTGACAGATAAGGCAGTATAGAAAGAGAAAATGAAAGGCAAACATGATGGTAACAAAAGCAAACATGCTGTCTATTTGGCGATGTATATTAAATTGTATATCAAATACAATATTAAGGGTGGTATGGCAAGCACAGAACAAAGCAAAAGCTTCTGTAGAACTTTTGTCTTCTCTAGTCAACAGAAGATTACACTCTTGGTGACTAATGAATTGTTTGAACTGTACCTGTGGTTGAAGGGGAGGAGTGAGAATTCTGTAAGCTAAAATTAAAAGCATAAAAGTGTGTGTATGAGACAGAGGACAGCATTTGTGTAGGAGTGGTTGCAGATGGTTATGTTCAATGCAGCTGAATTTGAGCTGAAGGAAGCTTATATTCTAATTCGAGATGCTGTGTCTTCCAGTGAGTGGTTCAATTATTTTGGCTGGAGTGTGTGAAAATCTTAGCCGAATTAAGCCAATATTGGTTTCATTTATTTCATTTGCTGTAATTTATTTCCTTCCTAAATCAATTGCTGTTTTGCCATTCAGGTGGAACACCAATATTCTCACAAATTTACTGTGATCGTGAAACGAGCTAAGAATGTCACCAAAGGAGCCTTTGGAGATATGCGTGAGTATGACTTAATCTTTGTGCTCCATTTGTTGGGGGTTCCTTTTGCTGCATGTTGTATTTTTTCATGTGAGAGGGCATAATTTTAATGGAAAATTGACCCTAGCCTTATTTCACCCAGCTTTTAAAATATAGTTGTCCACTGAAGAAATGCAGGTGCTTTCAATAGCATTTTAACTTATTTTTTTAATTGACAATTTCCCTTTTTTACTGTGTTTAAGTGCTGTAAAGGTAAATGAGCATGTTCTTTGCTTTCAGCAACTAGAATTAAAATAATAGTACACTGAATGGGACTTACAGTTATGGGATTACAGTCTGCTTGGAAGATACACAGATATGTCATTAGTGCAAAATACACAGTAAAATAGATTGAAACAGTTATTTGGCTTTTCTATAGCATTAGTTGGAAGGCACTGAAATTGTTATGTAGTAGTCTAGTAAATCACTCCATATCTATTTCATTTGCATACCCATTTTAATTCAGCTGTATTAGGACAATGATAAAATAAACATTTTAAATACTTACTGTTTAACTGTAATACTGTAATACTGAGGAATTGTCCAAGTATGTGTTTGTGTGGCTGAGAGAATACCAGTGAGGAAGCTATGTTTTCTCCCTCTTAACTTCTCCCCTAAACCCTGCTGAAAAGCAGGGTTTAGGCACAGAATGAAGCAATCTAAATCTCCTCTCATAATATGCTCTTGGCAAAGATTTCAGATAAGTATTTCACCATAAGGAAAATGTCAAGTATTAAATCACTTAAAAGACATGTTAGCTTGCTGAAGGAGCAGCGTGAACTGATTAGTCCTCAGGGTCAAGAGCTGGTTATGCTAAGTTCAGTATTATTCATTAACTGAAATATATTATATACACAATTGCCTAGATCATGAGTAGAATCTGCTCATGTGAAGCTTTCCTTTACAGAAAACACACCCCCAATGTCACAATATTTCACCAAATCAACTAATATGACAACAATGATGGGATAGACAGGGTGCTGATATATATATTAGGTAACAACATTTTTTAGCTGAAATATAGAACCCAATAGTTTAAATAAGCTATACAGTCTAAACTTCAATATTTACATAAAAGTTAATTTCAGCTATCAAATATATAGTGTGTGTATGTTAATCTCCCTGCCATGGCCATTATGAGAAAAATTTGTTGTCTGAAGCAAGTGCTTCTCTTGGGAGGAAACTCCCATTTATATCAATTGAAACTTTCACACAAACCCAAATAAATACCAGTTTAATATATTTCTTCTCTAGAAATATATACTTGCAGCAGGGCTTAATTCATCCTTTTATTATCTTGATTGTTATAAGCCCATTTCCAATTAAAGCGATTTAACTTGCAGTCTACTCTTTCTTTGTTGAAATCAAGTAGAAAGACAGCCATGCCTATAATTTAACAATGTTGATGTCATGCGTGTGCCAGTTGTTGGTGTAAATTAAGATCCTGACTATTCCGTGCATAATATTCTCCTTCACACTCAGCTTTGAGGCAGAGATATGTGGCCCTGCTTTACGCAGCTTTTCATCTGAATAGCATTCTCCTTTGGGGGTGATTTATGTATCAGTATTGGAAACAGAAAGAATATTTTAAAACATTATTTTAAATAATTTAAAGTATGTGTTCGTCAGTGATATGATGAGGAGAATCTTGGAGTTATGAGAATCATTGCAATTTGGAGCTTATGTTGAAAATTCACAGAAAATATTGTAGTTGACATTTTCTGCACAGGTACACACATATCATTTTCTGTTAGATAGTATTATTTCCTGCAAAAAAAGCTTCATGTTCAAATCCAAAATTTCTAATAGTCTTTGGAAGACTTTGTCAGAAGGAGAGGGTAGTTAGTAAAATTACCTCTCTTTTTTTTCTTTTAAGAACAAAACCAGTGAAAAATCCCCTCCATAATTGACACATATGTGTTGTATCTATTAGGCCTGGGTAACAATGGAAAAATTTGTTTCTAAAATCGATTCGTTTTTTGGGGTTTTTTGCGTTTCGATATTTAAAAGAATTCCGAAATTTTCCTTAAAAAAAGTTCGATATTTACGAAATTTCGTAAATGGTAAAAAAAATTACAAAACAATAACGAAACAATAACGAATCGATTCGTTAATGGCGGCCGCGATCGCGCAATACGCTAAAAAATCTTCTGAAGCTTCCCTCTCCCTCTGTTGTTGACTGTTGGTGTGATAATTATATATTTTTTTCACTGATAAAACAAACAACAACTATAAAACTTGCACCAGACATGCGGAAATAATAACGAAACGATTTCGAAACAATTACGAAACATTACGAAACAAATTGAAAAATTCGTTTCGTTTTTAAGTTGCTCCAGAATGGTTCGTTATCGCTTCGTTAACAAAAAAATAACGAATTTTTAACGAATTACGAATTAACGAAACGAAACCGCCCAGCCCTAGTATCTATGAATATTGTTAGCTAGAAAACTGTTCTCCACAGATTGTGGAATCGGGTGGGAGGCATTTCATCTCTCTGTTAAGAGCTAGTGGGAACTATAATTTACACTACCGTATATTCCGGCGTATAACATGACTGGGCATATAAGACGACCCCCCAACTTTTCCAGTTAAAATATAGAGTTTGGGATATACTCACCGTATAAGACCACCGCTCTTCCAATGCACACTAAATTAAAAAATTAAAAAAATAGATTTGAATTCAATATGGTAATTTTAATTCAAATGCTTATGACATGCAGGTTCCTATGAGAGGGGCATTGTACCTTACATGGTACATTACGGTTGCTCTTTCTCCCTTGAATTTCATTTACACTCTGGGTCCTTTACATCATGCTGGCAATAAGTTAAAATAAACAGTTGCGTTAAATAATTCTCATTTAAAGCAATTAAAAAAACAGCCGAGGTAAAGTGACATATCAGTTCCTTTTTGCATTCTCTCAGGCTTCTATTGATGCAGCCTAAAATGGCATTGGCCTTTTCAGCTACAGCATCACACTATTGGCTCGTGGTCGACAAAGGTTCCTTTCACAGAATCCTAAAGTTGGGAGGGACCTCTAAAGGCCATTTATTCCAACCTGCTTCATTCTGCCTTCTTGCAGGGAAAGCACAATCAAAGCACTCTCGACAAATGGCTATCTAGCCTTAATATTAATATAAATATTAATAATAGAGTTGGAAGGGAGCTCTAAAGGCCATCTAGTCCAACTCCATTCTGCATGGAGGGAAAGCACAATCAAAGCACCTCTGACAGATGACCATCTTGCCTTAATATTAACATGAATAATAATAATAATAATAATAATAATAATAGAGTTGGAAGGGAGCTCTAAAGGCTATCTAGTCAAACCCCCTCATTCTGCCTTCATGGAGGGAAAGCACATTCAAAGCACCTCTGACAGATGGCCATCCAGCCTTAATATTAACATGAATAATAATAGTAATAATAATAATAATAATAATAATAATAATAATAATAGAGTTGGAAGGGAACTCTAAAGGCCATCTAGTCCAACCCCCTTCATTCTGCCTTCATACAGGGAAAGCATCGTGTTGTGGTTATTATTATCAATAATAACAATAACATCAACATTAATATTAATAAATAGTTGGAAGATATCCCTTAGGCCATTTAGTCCAACCCCCTTTTGCCTTCATGCAGCAAATGCACAATCAAAGCACCCCTGACAGACAGCCACCCATTCTCAATCATAATAAAAACAATAATAAGAATCTTACTAATAAAGAGTTAGAAGAGATCCCAAGGGCCATCTAGTCCAACCCCCTTCTGTTTTTCCCTGCTCCCTCCTTGCCTTCCTCGGCAGCGGCAGTGCCGGCAGAGGAGGAGGGAGCCCCGACAGCAGGGTCTTCCACGGCCTTGCTCTCCTCCTCCCTTGGCCCCCGCGCGGCCGCAGGGGCAGTGGTGCGAGGAGGTAGAAAATAATAATAATAATAATAATAATAATAATAATAATACTTTATTTATACCCTGCTCCATCTCCCCCAGGGGGACTTGGTGTGGCCCATTCCCAAAAATACAGTAACATAATATAATCCAAAAGCATAACAAAACCAGAAATAAAATACATAAAATGCGAAAACCAATATAATAAATGAACAACAAAAGCAAATCAAACATTAAAACACAGGGGATTAGGCTGGGCAGGGCCGAACTCTATGATAATTTTTTTAAAACTATGGGAGATAGGACAATATAAATTAAAAGCCACGCATGGGGGGAAAGAAGGAAAGGTGCGCACCTTTTCCCCTTCTCTCTCACCCCGCGCATGCCTTCTTTGGCGGTGGTGGTAAAGGCACGCACGGGGTGAGAGAGGAGGGAAAGGGGCACACCTTCCCCCCCCCTCGCACGCCTTTGCTGCCTCCAAGAAGATGCCGAGAAGGCATCTGCGGGGCGAGGGAGGAGGAGGGAAAGGTGCACGCCTGCGGAGGCCTGTGCTGACCTCCGCAGCTGGTGAGTGCACCCGCCCCTGCTGCTTCTGGCAAGGCTTCCAGCCTCTGTCTACAACCTCCAGGAACAGCGTGGCGCAGGCCAGACACTCCGTTGGGCCCCAGCTGGGCCCAGTGAGGAAAGAGGCAGCATGAGGAAGGAGGCCGGAGGGCAGCCTTCCTCATGCTGCCTCCCTCCCTGGGCCCAATTGGGGCCAATGGAGCCCTGGCCCACGCCACGCTGCTCCTGGAGGCTGTAGACAGAGGCTGGAAGCCTCACCAGAAGCAGCAGGGGTGGGCTCGCTCACCAGCTGCAGAGGTCAGTGCAGGCCTCTGTGGCCAGCGCTGGCCTGCGCAGCCCTGGAAGTCAGGCAGGCAGGCCGCTGCAAGCAGAGGTTCTCCTCCACTGCCTCAGCTTCATCGGCTCCGATGCCGCTGCCATTCGTCATCTGGTATATCCGGAAGATAAGACGACCCCCAACTTTTCAAAGGATTTTCAAGGTTTAAAAAGTCGTCTAATAGTTGGTTTACTTTTATGCAACTATTCTCTCCTATGTTAGGAGAGACTTCTGATAGAGCACACATGGCAAATAAAAGACTCACAGGCTAAATCGAACATGACATGTGAATTTATGTGGCCCACAAGACTTTCAATGCCAGAGCAAAATAGTTAATTTATACAGTCTTCCAGGTAGAGTGGACTCATTTAGATGAGATTTGTTAGTGAGTAGCCACCACTTAGACAATTTCACATTATTTCATTGGATGTTGTGATTTGCCAGATAAACTACTGGAGAAGTTGTTTTTGAGCCATGCATATTGTCATTTTATTTTAGTTGACACTCCAGACCCCTATGTGGAACTGTTCATCCCAACAGCCCCAGACAGCAGAAAGAGAACAAAACATATCAATAATAATGTAAACCCTGAGTGGAATGAGACCTTTGAGATAATTTTGGATCCCAACCAGGAAAATGTTCTAGAGGTAACATTTTGATTTGGGAACCATATTTAAGGCTGTTTTATTTTGTGTGTGGATGTGTGTGTGTGTTGTTGTTGATGTTATTACAAAGTCTATGCATACAAAGTATACAAAGTTACAAAGTATATGTCCTTTTATTTGCATACATTTTATTGATTATCCCGTCGGATGTATCAAAACATTTAACAAACACATTTAACACATACACATATGGCTTACAACCCAAATTACAATCAAAGTTAAAATAAGCAAGTTGTTAACAAGGGGTCAAGATCCTGATCCAGATCAAATATCTGCATCACCCCTGCAATTTACACCAATCGACACCAAACGTGCAGTTCTCAACTGAGTTGCTTTAAATAGAAAAAGTGCCATTAGGTTAGTTATTTTAGCATTCTGGCTGGCCAATAAAAATGTAGTTTTAATATAAGGATCCCAGTGTGTCTTTTGCATACTGTATACCATTATACTGTAATATTATTAGTAATATTACATGTAATATAAAATATATAATTATAATACTATATTATTAGTAGTATTATATTGTTTTAGATTATAATATTATCAATATTATATGTATATACAATATATTATATTGCATTGTATCATATTATATTATTAGCAGAGTGCAGGAGACCAGATGAAACTGTCCCCCCAGTCCCCTCTCCTCACTCTAGACCCAGAGTAGCAGTTGGTGCTGGGGGGTGGGGTTCCCAACTGATGACACAGGAGACAAGGTGGAATTGTCTTCCTGGCCCCTCTCTTCACTCTGGTCCCAGAGCAGCAGTTGGTGCTGGGGGGGAAGGGCTCCCAACTGTTGTCACAGGAGACAATATGGAACTGTCTTCCTGGCCCCTCTCTTCACTCTGATCCCTGAGCAGCAGTTGGTGATGACACATGGGGTGAGTGGGTCTTTGTGTAGCAGTGGGGGTAGCCAGCCAGTGGGACCGCTTTGCCCACTGTGCTCAACTACTGGTTATTGGTTGTTGATGAGTTCATGGGGGTTTTTTTTCCTTTTTTTTCCTTTTTCTTTATGTGATTGAATGTAGTTTTGGTGCTATATTTTAATTTTGTTTTACTGGTCCTGTTCATCATTATCATCATATTTAATTACTTACTAATCACCCTCCATCCGAGAGAATGCTCTAGCGATTTACAAGCTAAATTGTAAAAGATAAAATACATACATACAGAAATTAAAAATTAACAGAGATCGAATGCTCTAGTAAAAAGCTAGGTCTTAAATGCTAGAGTAAAAGGCCCTAAGTCACGCATGGCTCTCAAATAGGGCCCCATGTAAGCTGCCCCGAGTCCCTTCGGGGAGATGGGGGCAAGATATGAAAATAAAGTTATTATTGTATTATTATTTCAGGGGCTAGTAAAGCAGGTAATAGCAGTAACTTCCAATTTCCATACATGGAAGGATTTAGGACCAGAGAGAGTCTCAGACCCCCAGGCATCCTGGAAGTGTCCCACCAACCTCTTGCCTTCTTTAAAGGGGGTGAGTGAAGTGGCTTTTTGTAGGGCGAGGGGGCCAGCCAACCACTTTGCCACTGACCTGATGTCATGATATGACATGCTGGCAGAAACATGTTTTTTTTAACCCCCCAGTCATGGGTAGATTTCACACAATACATTTTGAAGAATGTTTTTGTAAGGAAGCGTAATCCCACCTAAATGGGATTACCCAAAATTACGTAAATATGTATGTTAATCCACCTAAT